TGGACACCCACTAAAGGGAAACAAAATGTGATCATGTTTGTTGGATTACAAGGGAGTGGTAAAACAACAACATGTTCAAAGGTAAATTAAATTTAATTTTTAAAAAGTCATATAGAAGATATGTTTGTATAAATCAAGTTTTATTTTAAGGCCAGGCTTTATAATATTGTTGCTTTACAACTTTCTGTTACTTGATATGTTCATTATGTTTTTTGTAAGATAAGAAGAAAAAATCTCACAGTCTCTCGTGATTGCTTTTTGTAGGAATGGTAGACTTTTATATAACTATGCAATTTCTTTTATAAAAAGAAGACCATTCCTCTCCTTTAAGGATGTGAGTGTATGATTTTTGGAGCAGAGAATATGGAGTTTACTTTACCTCCTATGACTCAAGACTCCTTTTTCAGGTTCCCACCTAGCATAATATAGATCTTCATTTTGCATATCCTTATGCAAATTTTTAATGCATTATACCACCCCTTCCTCCAGAATTGGGTGCCTCGACATTGTTACCAGATTTTTTTCCATAAGCTCCACCTATGTTAGGGGTTTAAAAAAAAAAGAGGATTTTTTTTTTTTTTTTTTTGAGACAGGATCTCACTCTGTTGCCCGGGCTAGAGTGCTATAGTGTCAGCCTAGCTCACAGCAACCTCAAACTCCTGGGCTTAAGGGATCCAGCTGCCTCAGCCTCCTGAGTAGCTGGGACTATAGGCATGTGCCCCCGTGCCCGGCTAATTTTTTCTATATATTTTTAGTTGTCCAGCTAATTTCTTTCTATTTTTTTAGTAGAGACTGGGTCTCGCTCTTATTCAGGCTGGTCCTGAACTCCTGAGGTCAAACGATCCACCCGCCTCAGCCTCCCAGAGAGCTAGGATTACAGGCGTGAGCCACCGTGCCCAGCCAAAAAGAGGATTTTTTTAAAGAGGGTTTTGCTATTGTTTGTTTTCAATTAACATTAATACTGGTTAACATTTTTGACTATGATCATTTGCTGTTTGATCATTTTATATCCTTTGAATGCTATGGTATGAAAATTAGAATTTAAACTCTTCAGGAAATTTGCTATATTCACAAGTCTTTAATATTAGTTTCAGGAAAATTATGAGCAGATTTACTTTACTCCTTAAGTAAATAATAAAGATAAACAGAAGACACTATATGTATCATAATTTATTGTATTTTGTGATACTGTATTTTTTTAATCTTCCGTTTTCAGTTAGCATATTATTACCAGAGGAAAGGTTGGAAGACCTGTTTGATATGTGCAGACACATTCAGAGCAGGTAATGTGTCCAAATTTGAAAATTGCTTTCCGTAATCTTTATTTTCAAGTTAGAGGATTCATTTACTCTTTATCTCCTAGGGGCTTTTGACCAACTAAAACAGAATGCTACCAAAGCAAGAATTCCATTTTATGGAAGGTAAGTTACTGTTTTTATTTTGATACTTGTATGTCTTGTCTGACTTTTTTTTTTTTTTTTTTTTGAGACAGGATCTTGCTCTGTTGCCCAGGCAGAGCAGTGCAGTGGAGTGCAGTGGCTTGATCATAGCTTACTGTAACCTCAAACTCCTGGGCTCAAACGATCCTCCTGCCTCAGTCTCTTGAGTAGCTGGGACTCTGGGTGTGTGACACCATGCCTGGCTAATTTTTCTATTTTTTGTAGAGATGGGGTCTTGCTCTTCCTCAGGCTGGTTTCGAATTCCTGGCCCCAAGTGATCCTCTCACCTCTGCCTCCCAAAGTGCTGGCATCATAGGCATGAGCCACCGTGGCTGGCCTTGTCTTTTTGTGCTATCTGGTTACATTTTAGCATAATATATGGAACAAAGTGGGGGTATAATTAATAACTTATCTTTTATTGCTATTACATGACCTTTCTGATCCAGCCTATTAGATCAGAGTGGACATTGTTTAGTTCATGACTCTGCTTGTATTTATCATCCTGCCTGGCATGCTTTCCTACTTCCTTCTGCCTCTCTATTCCTATTGTTTCTTTTAAGACTTGTCTGAAGCATTCCACACTTAAATATACACAACACTGGTGAATTCCATACTGCTTCTTTAGTATATCATTTAAAAACGTTTGCATTAAATCATCCTAAAATGACTTAGAATCTCTAGTTATCTCAGAGATTGGTTACTGCTGTCTGTCACTTGATACATTGTTGTTCAGTTTTGTAGTACAGACTACATAACATGTAAGAATGATTAAAGAAGAGAGTCTAGCTTGAATTTAGAAGGACTTGTTTGAGAGACTTCTTATTTAGGACTTCTACTTTTTGGCTAGCCAAAAAAGCTAGTGAACTTTGGCTATGATATGTTCTTAATTTAAATTTTTTCCTTTCAGTCATTTTTTAATGATAATTTCTGACAGATAGATTAAAGAGTAATGTTAGAATTTTTTTTAGGATAAAAACCATTTCTAATATAGTTTTGTGTGTGTTGAGGGGAGGAGTTGATTTCTGGTAAAAACCAGAAAACCTGCTTGACAAATTCTGGAAGCAATAATATTTCTAATACAGTTTTTAATGTCAGGTGATAATAAAGTTATGTTTTTAGGTATCACAATTTGCAAATAACATAATTTAGTTGATAATTACTTGAATTACTGGCCAAATCTGGAGCATTACTTTTTAACCAGAATTCTCAGTGCCATTTAAATAATCTCTCCTTTACTCATGGAAATGTAAAAAACTTCTGGGAAGGAGGAAGGAAATAGGATTGGAGAAGGACTTGAGCTATATCTTTAATGTTAAAATTATAAATCTGGAATATACATTAACATAAGTAATTAGCATTTTTTAGACAGTAGATACAGTGCTGTTTGTTACAGTATTATCTGTCCCTTAAAGAAATAGTTTTAATAAAAAATTTTAAAGAGCTAGGTGTGTTGGTATGTGCCTATAAAAAAATTTTTTTTTAAAGAAAAAGTGAAAGCACCAATATTAACACTTTTTACTTTCCAATTGCCTGTTTTGAGCGTGTTCATTCATGCGTTTTTCAATGTCTGTGCAAATGAATGGACATTCAGAAACATGTATCATATATAGACATAGATTATTTTAAATTAAAATGGGATCTTTCAGTGCTTTATACCTTGATTACTGTAGTGGTGGTTATTGTAAGTTTGTCAAAACTCACCAAAATGAACACTTAAAATGGTACATTTTATTGTATGTAAATATACCACTGTAGAGTTCATTAAAATGGGATCGTAATAATTCTGGAATGGATACTAAAGTGTTTAAGGTAATTCTTTTTTATGACATAATTTATTCCACTGTATGCATGTATATAATTAACCAATCCCCTTCTTATGAACATCTTTGATCATATTTTTTTGCACATTTATAAATTTTACTTTAATTGCATATTTATCATATTTTGAAATGGTAATGCTAATCTCTGTCATTTTTTTCAACATTTTCTTGTCTTTTCTTATCTGCTTATTTTTCTAGATAAATTTTAGAATTCTTTATCAAGATCCAAAAAGAAAACTCTAAGATTTTAATTGGAATTACATTGAATCCCATTAATTTAGGGGAGAATTGACATCTTCACTATATATTTGTGTAGCTTCATTTAAGAACCTGTATCTTTTTTGTTAAAAATGTTTTATATCCTTTAGTAATTTTCTTCATTTAAGTCTAATACATATTCTTATTAAGTGTATTTGTATGTGAATTTTTGGTTCTTAATTTAGGGGAAAAGCAGGGTTTTTTTTTTAACATTATATATCTTTTCAGTTGACTACTGATCTGTATAAAAAATTGCCACTAATCAGAAGAATGCAAATTAGAATGTGATCTCATTTCTTGATTTTCACATTGCCAAAGATTTTTGTCAGAGATTGTGAAAATGTAGTAAAATAGGAATGAGATTAAACTTTCATGGAGGACATTTTTCTTTCAAAAGCCAAAAGCTTTAAATGGCATACTATTTGATCCAAATTCAGCTTGTAAGAGTGTGTTATAACAGTTTCAAAGAAACTACATTTATGTACTGTTTATATTGGCTATATTTTTAATACCAGGAAATTGGAAAAGCCTTAAATGTCGAATAATAGGGCATTTATTTAATAAATGATAGCGTAGCCATGTGATGGAATGCCATATAACCTAAAAGTTATATTTTATAAGAATATTTAATGGTTTTATAAAATATTTACATAAGGGTGTTAAGTGGAAAAGCAAGTATGAAACACTATGTAACATGAATTCAATTATTAAATTATTAAAGAAGAGGTAAAAAAAAAAATTTGAGGGAAGCGCCCTCATTCAGAAAAGACATGCAGCATACAGTGTTTTGTAATTGGAAAATTGGATAGTGCTTCATGCTGCTCTTCAAGTAGATTTCTATATTTAATACTTATTAAATTTTGTTCTTCTAAATTGAAATTGTGAAATTTTGGCTTTTTCAGAATAAAGGTAGACTAACAATTTCCAAATTGAGAATATTCGGAAGTTTTGCTGTTGTGGTTGTTGTTAAATCATTTGTCCATGTTAAATAGCTATACAGAAATGGATCCTGTTATCATTGCTTCTGAAGGAGTGGAGAAATTCAAAAATGAAAATTTTGAAATTATTATTGTTGATACAAGTGGCCGCCACAAACAAGAAGACTCTTTGTTTGAAGAAATGCTTCAAGTTGCTAATGCTATAGTAAGTAGCTTTGAATGTAATGCCATTTTTAGGCTTTGCTTAATTTAATTATAAAACCTAATTGCGTATATGATCAATATAAATTACTCCTTTCCAATATAAATTACTCCTTACAGGAAAGTAATTTATTTCTGTTTGGGACACCTGTATCTGTGTGGTAAGGTCTTACTTTTGTCATTTCTGGTCTCCTTAAATATGAAATTTTCATGAGTAAGTATCAAAAAAATAATTTCCTTTCTCACTTAATCATCTTATTAATATGTATAAGAAAAACATGGGCCGGGTGTGGTGGCTTACGCCTGCAATCCTCCCACTTTCGGGAGCCGAGGCAAGAGAATCACTTGAGGCCAGGAGTTTGAGGTTGTACTCAGCTAAGGTGACACTACTGTACTCTAGCCTGGGCAACAGTAAGACACTGTCTCAAAAAAAAAAAAAAGCATAAAAAATTAAGAATTTAGTATCTATTGAATTTCCTTTCTGTGAATTAAATTCATTTGGAAGCATTTGTTATACTTTAGATGAATTTTGGAAGTTTTTCAAAATGAAGCACTTAAAAATATTAATCATCATTTAATATCTCTTTAAAATTGTGATGGAAATAAGGGAGAAGGAGCAGTTTATAGCTTATTTTCAGGAAATATTAGGAACCCAGTTTAGTTATTCAGGTGTTGGCAGTAATTCTTCGGTTGGTGGTTAATGCTAATAAGTTTCTTTTTAGTTATGCTGTTACTTTGACTAAGTTGAGCCGATATAAGGGAAATAGTCTCAGTCTGTTTTGTGCATTTTGGTTTCAGTATACATTCTTCTACTTTATATTTTTTCTAATTTGCTTTTGCTATTCCTTTGCATAGAATGCCATTCTTTCAGAATAACTTTTTTCTTTATTTAGGACTCAGCTCAGATGTTAGGTCCAGAGAGACCTTCTCTGACTACCTTATCAAAAGATGCCTCCCCCACCTCACACTGATATTCTGGATCCCATTTTATTTGTCATACATCTGAAATGTTTATTTACCTATTATTTGTCTCTTCTGACTAGAAGTTTCATGAGGACAAGGATTTTCTTATTTACCTCTTTGTCTTCAGGACCCGGATGGTACCTAATAATACATAGTACTCCCTCAACAAATATTTATTGATTGAATAATTATTTATAGTAAACGTTGTTTTATAGTTTCTAATGATAACATTTACTTAAGATCAGTAAAAATATATATTTTTCTGTTTAAATTTTCTAGCAACCTGATAACATTGTTTATGTAATGGATGCCTCCATTGGTCAGGCTTGTGAAGCCCAGGCTAAGGCTTTTAAAGATAAAGTAGATGTAGCCTCAGTAATAGTGACAAAACTTGATGGTCATGCAAAAGGAGGTGGTGCACTCAGTGCGTAAGTACCATTAATGTCCTATGTCTTGGGGTTATATGGGGAGTGTGTGTGTATTTATGGCTTTCTTATTGATTATTTAAAATATATTCCAACAGTGGACCTAATAATGGTTTATAAAAGAAGTTTAAATAGAAGCAGAATTTTGGAGCCTCCCCGATATAGTTCTCTGTTAACTAGTGAAAAGAAACTTGAGCTTTGTACCTTTGTCTAATTAGGTTCGAAGGTAGATTCCTTTTGAATTCCAGATTTGCTGGAAATTTGTGAGGTTTTTTTGAAGTTATTTTATATCTTCTTTTTCTTTGCAGGGTTGCTGCCACAAAAAGTCCAATCATTTTCATTGGTACAGGGGAACATATAGATGACTTTGAACCTTTCAAAACACAGCCTTTCATCAGCAAACTTCTTGGTATGTACAGTGGTGGGGATCCAGAAAATAATCTCTGAGAAATAGTATGGATCTTTAGGACACATTGGGATTTTAATCTTGCTGTCACTAACTAATTTAGGAAGATCATTTCTTTCTATGACTTATCTTTTTCACCTCTAAAATAGGGATGATGGTTATTTGTTTTCTGTGGTTAGAGCGGTAAAATGAGATATTTGATGGAAAGTTCTTTGGAAAAGTTTTAGAGAACAGTACAAAAATATGTGGTTGTAGTAACAGCAGTTGTAATGGCAGTAAAACTTTGGTAATGACTGAAGGTGGTATACTTAGAGAGAATGGAATTTAGAGTTAAGCCCCGGGCTGGAGTCCCTGCTTTGTCACTTCTTTGCTGCTGCTTAACCTCCATAGCTTCAGTTTTTTTTTTTTTTTGAGACAGAGTCTCACTTTGTTGCCCAGGCTAGAGTGAGTGCCGTGGCGTCAGCCTAGCTCACAGCAACCTCAGACTCCTGGGCTCAAGCAATCCTACTGCCTCAGCCTCCTGAGTAGCTGGGACTACAGGCATGCGCCACCATGCCCGGCTAATTTTTTTCTATATATTTTAGTTGTCCAATTAATTTCTTTCTATTTTTGGTAGAGATGGGGTCTCGCTCTTGCTCAGGCTGGTCTCTAACTCCTGAACTCAAACAATCCGCCCGCCTCGGCCTCCCAGAGTGCTAGGATTACAGGCGTGAGCCACCGCGCCTAGCCAGCTTCAGTTTTTTTTTATCTGTAAAGTGTAGTAAGAATACTTAACCTGCCTACTTCACAAGGTTATTATATGTATGAATGTGTTTTGTATAACATAAAGCAGAGTATGGTATTAGTTGTTAATTTTTCTTTTTGGGGTCCTACAGGTATGGGTGACATTGAAGGACTGATAGATAAAGTCAACGAGTTGAAGTTGGATGACAATGAAGCACTTATAGAGAAGTTGAAACATGGTATATGAGTGGCAAAAAAGCATTTAATCTCAGATGTCTTCCCTTGATTTCTTTTTGATAAAGCTACTATTAATTTGTTTGAAATGATAGTATCTATTATTAGCATCAATTCGTCAAATGTTTATTATTTCAGATGATTTATATGCAAATCATTTTAAATCTCAGACATCTGAGCAGTTACAGAATCAAGTGTTTTTATTTTTTTCTCATAACCAAATTGTCTTAAGATTAAAATCAAGGCTTTCATTGGGTTCCTTAAAGTAAAATAGGTTAAAAGTAAGTTAGAACATATTCTTCTAACCTATTTACTTTCTTATACATTTTATATATTTTATAAAATATGTAAAAAGAAATTTAAAAGGATGAGATTAAATACACACAAACATTTTTTTCACTCCTCATGAAAGAACACTCCTAAAGAGAAGTATATCACTGTGATTAAGAGCTCAGGTTCTTAAATATAACATACTTGTATTTGTATCTCTGATCTGTTTTTTAGCTGTGTGTAACTTTTTCAAATTACTTAGCCTCAATTTCTACATCTGTAAAAAGTAGGTAATACTAACTGCTTCATATGGTCCTGAAAATTACATTAGCTGATACTTGTAAAGTGTCCAACACATCATAAGCACTCAATGTATGTTATTATTGACCATTTCAGTTTTTCTCAAAATGATCTTTTCCATTAATTCCCATGGCAACTATTCTCCCTTTGCTCCTCGTCACTCATCTTGTCAGATACTTGTGTCTTTGTCTTTCTCTTAAATGTTGATGTTTTTCAGGGATCCTCCTAAGCCATCTTCTTTGTCTGGAACTTCAAAGTCATATTCATATCTGCATGTTTATTAGACTATTCTGAGATGTTCCATGGACACCTCAAATTAAACATATCCTTATCTTCCCATCCCAACCTTCCACCCCACTGTTACCATCAATAAATATTAACATCATTCGTTTTGTTGCTGGAATCAGAAACTTGGGTGTCATTATTGATTCTTATTTTTTCCTCACTCTGCCCACCCCTTTCCTCGTCAGTCAGTTAATTCTAGTGATTCTACCTGCTAAGTATCTCTGTTCTATTCCCTTCTCTTCAGCTTCCCTGCAACTGTGGAAGTATACCTCTTGCTTGCTTAGATTGCTTATTGTAAATCTTTTAACAGATCTTTCAGCTTCTGGACTCTTCCCCTTTTGTCTTTTTTTTTTTTAATACTGTAGCCAAAATGCTCTTTTTTTTTTTTGAGACAGAGTCTCACTCTGTTGCCCGGGCTAGAGTGCCATGGCATCAGCCTAGCTCACAGCAACCTCAAACTCCTGGGCTCAAGCAATCCTACTGCCTCAGTCTCCCAAGTAGTTGGGACTACAGGCATGTACTACCATGCCTGGCTAATTTTTTCTATATATTTTTAGTTGTCCAGCTAATTTCTTTCTATTTTTTCAGTAGAGACGGGGTCTCACTCTTGCTCAGGCTGGTCTCGAACTCCTGAGCTCAAACGATCCACCTGCCTTGGCCTCCCAGAGTGTTAGGATTACAGGTGTGAGCCACCGTGCCTGGCCTCAAAATGCTCTTTTAAAGTTGCAAATCTGATCCCATTACTGCCCTTCTTAAAATTCTTCATTAACTTCCCATTGCCCTTAGAATATTTTAAATGATTTTATCATCTAGCCCATATCGTCCACATCATGTTTTGGCACTGTTGTTCTTAGCATTCTATGTGTCAGCCATGCTGAACAACCTTTTTTTTTTTTTTTTTTTTTAATTTTTAGATTTTAATTTTTATTTATTTATTTTTTTTTTTGAGATAGGGTCTCACTGTGTTGCCGGGGCCAGAGTGCAGTGACATCATCATAGCTCACTGCGACCTCCAATGCCTGGCCTCAAGTGATCTTCCTGCCTTGGCCTTCCAAAGTGCTGGGATTACAGGCATGAGCCACTGCACCAGCCTGTTTCTTTAATGTACATTGTTGTCTCTCACCTCTGGGCTGTTGCCTTTTTGGTCCTTCTACCTGATAGACACATCCTCTCATCCTACTGTGTCTACCATCCTCTTCCTTGGCCAGGGTAGCTAACTCCTACTTGTACTTCAGATGTCTCCTTAAATGTCCTTTTTCAGGGACATTTTACCTGATCCCTAGACTAAATTGGAACCTTCTAATATATGTTTCTGTCACATCCTACAATTAATTGTTATATTATTCATCATAATTATTTGATGTCTGTCTTCCCTGCTTGGAGGTAAAAGTAGCGTTCATATCTGTGCTCTTTATCTTTTGTGTTCACAGTACCTAGCACAGTGTCTGGCACATAGTAGGTTTTCAGTAAATATTTAGTGAATGAATGAGTTTTATCCTTCATTGCCTGATTCTTTCCATCTGCCTTTCTCTATCTTGAGTAACCCTAGCACTGTTTCTATTGCTACTACAAAGCTGGGTAGTATATTCCTAGTCTGTCTACTTTCTGACTCCCGGCTCTCCTTACATCTCTGCTTTTTTTTCTTTCTGCTTTTAATATTCTAAGGTCACCCATTTCTAAGGTCACCAAGGGTCTCCTTATTTCCAGAGGTAGTAAGCTTTCTCATGTTCATTGGTTCCTAATATTTGACAATGTTACCTGTCTTTTTTATTTTTAAATTCACTTGAGTTCCATGACAGTGGATTTCTTATATTATCATAGCTTTAATTATCATTTCCATATAAATGGCCAAATATGTATTTCAGCCTTAGTCTTCTCTTCCACTGTTTAATTCTGCATTTCTTGTTGCTTGCTGTAACAATTCTTTTAAAATTTTACTGACATTTCAAAGTCAGAATGCCTGAAACCAAATACCTCTTCTTTTTTATCTTTCCCCTTTGCTTTGTTCCCCACCCATTTTTAAAATGAGGTTAATTTACATACAGTGAAATGCACTGACTTCCTGAAAATACCATTCCATCTTTTATTTATTTTTTTTTTGAGGCTGGGTCTCACTCTGTGTCCCAAGCTGGAGTGCAGTGGCATTATCATCATCATAGCTCACTGCAACCTCAAGCTCCTGGGCTCTAGTGATCCTCCTGCCTCAGCCTCCTAAGTAGTTGGAACTACAGGTGTGGGCCACCATACCCAGTTAATTTTTAAATTTTTTGTAGGAACGTTGCCCAGACTCTATTCCATCTTTTTTGACAAATACATAGTAACCCCCATCCCATCAAGAAACAGAACATTTCCATTACTCTAGAAAGTTTGCTCATGCCCCTTCCTAGTAATGCTTTCATATCATAGAAATCTTACAGTATGTCCTTTTTCTTTCTGTTTCTTTGACTAAGCATAGTATTTTTGATATTCATTCATATAGTTGTATGTATTTATCATTTGTTCTTTTTATTGTTGAGTAGTCTACATTCTATCCATTCTCCTGTTCATGGACAGCTAAGTTGTTTAAGAAACTCCAAATCTTCTAAAGTGTTTTTGCTATTTTACATTCTTACCAGCAATATATGGAAGTTCTACTTACTCTACATTCTCTTTAATTTTTGGTATTGTCAGGCTTCTTACTTTTAGTTATCCTAGTGGGTATAGTTTGTGTGCTTTGTTTTCAGGTTTCTTATATATTTGTATATGTCTGTCTTCTCTGATAGAATATAAACTTCTCTAGAATAGGATCTGTCCACATGTCTGGATATTCTTCACAGCACTCATTCTGTCATTGCACTTAGTAGTGAATATTGATTAATTGGTTATTTTATAATTGTGCTTCAAGATGAATTCATGATTAAGGAAAAGATTAATTTTATTGAATAGAAATGTACATTCTCTAATATATTTGAATCATTTATAATTGTTTTTCAGGTCAGTTTACATTGCGAGACATGTATGAACAATTTCAAAATATCATGAAAATGGGCCCCTTCAGTCAGATCTTGGTTAGTTATCCTTAAAAGTTTCTTTATACCTTATTTTGTTTTTCATTAAAATTTCTAGGCCTGGCGTGGTGACTCACGCCTGTAGTCCTAGCACTCTGGGAGGCCGAGGTGGGTGGATCGTTTTTAGTAGAGATGGGGGTCTCGCTCTTGCTCAAGCTGGTCTTGAACTCCTGACCTTGAGTGATCCACCCGCCTCGGCCTCCCAGAGTGCTAGGATTACAGGCGTGAGCCACCGCGCCCGGCCTTAATTATTTTTAATATTTGGGTAAAAATTGATATTTTAAGACTTAGTGTCAGTATTAAAGCCAGTAGCTAAATTGGGGACATTCTGAACGATTAGTCTTCAACTGTTACTGACTTAATCTTTAAATCTGTTTTAGGGCATGATCCCTGGTTTTGGAACAGATTTTATGAGCAAAGGAAATGAACAGGAGTCAATGGCAAGGTTAAAGAAATTAATGACGATAATGGATAGTATGAATGATCAAGGTAAGATGGTAGATTATTTGACTCAGGGGACAATGTTTTGAATAACAGCAAGGTGAGAGTTTCACTTTGTTCTGTGGACAAGATGGGGAAAATTTATGTGGAAAAATTATTTTTAGGTAGATGTGTAGTAGCTTGAAAGCACTTATGCAAAGGATTATGATTACTGGATTGACTTCATCATTGAGAGAAATGTCTAGTACAGTGTTTCTCCAAATGATTTACAAGGGAAGAACACTATTCATGATGTGGACAGAAATAAAAGGGGAAATCTGTAGTCAGGTTTGTGGGAACGCAGGTTTAAAAAGTTAAATACGTTTATTTACTGAAAGTCTTCAGAGCTTTAATATGCTAACATACATTGGGAAACTGTAACATATTATACATTGGTTTACTGCCCTGTCTCTGTAATCCTATACAGGCATATGTCAAAGATATTGTGGGTTTTATTCCAGACCACTGCAATAAAGGGAATATCATAATAAAGCGAGTCACACGATTTGTTTTCTATTGTATGTAAACTAGAAATATATATTTATAATATATATAATATATTTATGGTATATATCCTATAGTCTATTAAGTGTGCAGTAGCATTACACCTAAAAAACAATGTACATACCTTAATTAAAAAATACTTTGTTGCTAAAAATACATCTGAGCTTTCAGTGAGTCAAATCTTTTTTACTGGTGGAGGGTCCTGCCTCCATGTAGATGGCTGCTGACTGTTCAGGGTGGTGGTTGCTGAAGGTTAGGGTGGCTGTGGCAATTTCTTAAAGTAAGGCAATGAAGTTTGCAACATCAATTAACTCTTCCTTTCACAAAAGAGTTCTCTGTAGCGTGTGACACTGTTTGATAGCATTTTACCCATAGTAGAACTTCTTTCAAAATTGGAGTCAATCTCTCAGACTCTACCACTGCTTAATCAATTGTTTATGTAATATTCTAAATCCTTTGTTGTCATTTTAGCAATGTTCACAATATCTTCACCAGGAATAGATTCTATTTCAAGAAACTATTTTCTTTGCTCATCTGTAAGAAGCAACTTCTCATCAAGTTTTACCATGAGATTGAGTCACATCTTCAGGCTCCACTTCTTCTGAGGGACTCCTCTGTAGGCAGGCTCCACTTCTAATTCTAGTTCTGTTGCTGTTTCCACCACATCTGCAGTTAGTTCCTCCCCTGAAATCTTCAACCCCTCCAGATCGTCCATGAGGGTTGCAATAAACATCTTCCAAATTTCTGTTAATGTTGATATTTTGACTTTCCCCTATAAATCACAGATATTCTTAGTGTAACCTAGAATGGTGAATCCTTTCCAGATGGTTTTAAAAACATTTTTATTAAGCCTACGACACCTGGCATTCCCAGGCAGTCTCCTATCCAAGTACCAACTAGGCCCAGCTTTGCTTAGCTTTGGAGATCAGATGAGATCAGGCCCATTGAGGGTGGTATGACCATAGACTGTGGAAGATTTTCATTGGATTTTGCCAGATCCATCAGAGGAATCACTGTCTGTGGCAGACACAATGTTATGAAATGTATTTTTTAAATAAGATGACTTGAAAGTTGAAATAACTCCTTGATCCATGGGCTGCAGAATGGATCTTGTATTAGCAGACACGAAAACATTAATCTCCTTGTATATCTCTATCAGAGCTTTTGGTTGACGAGGTGCATTGTCAATGAGCAGTAATACTTTGAAAGGGATCTCTTTCTGAGCGTAGGTCTCAACAGTTGGCTTAAAATATTCAGTAAACCATGCTGTAAACAGCTGTGCTGTCTGTTGTTCTATTGACAGAGCACAGGCAGAGTAGATTTCACATAATTCTTAAGGGCTCTAGGATTTTTGGAATGGTAAATGAGCATTGGCTTCAACCTAAAGTGACCACTTGCATCGGCCCCTGACAAGAAAGTCAGCCTGTCCTTTGAAGCTTTGAAGCCGGGCATTGATTTCTCTGTAGCTGTGAAAGTCTAAGATGACATGTTCTTCCACTAGAAAGCTCTTTTGTCTCCATTGAAAATCTGTTGTTTAGTGTAGCCACCTTCATCAATGGTCTTATAGGTCTTCTGGATAATATGCTGCAGCTTCTGCGTCAGCACTTGCTGCTTCACCTTGTACTTTTATGTTACGGAGATGGTGTCTTTCCTTAAACCTCTTGAACCAACCTCTGCTAGCTTCTAACTTTTCTTCTGCAGCTTCCTCACCTCTCTCAGCCTTCATAGAATTGAAGAGAGTTCAGGCCTTGCACTGGATTAGGCTTTGGTTTAAGGGAATGTGGATGGTTTGATCTTCTATCGAGACCACTAAAACTTTCTCCATACCAGCAATAAGGTCGTTTCATTTTCTTATCATTTGTGTGTTCATTAGAGTAGCATTTTTAATTTCCTTCAAGAACTTTTCCTATGCATTCATAAGTTGGCTAACTGCTACAAAAGGCCTACTTTCTCCCTATCTTGGCTTTTGATATACCTTCCTCAGTAAGCTTAATCATTCATAGCAAGATTTAAAGTGGGAGACATGCGACTCTTCCTTTTCCTTGAACATCTAGAGGCCATTGTAGGGTTATGAATTGGCCTAATTTCAATATTTTCATGTCTCAAGGAATAGGGAGGATCAAGGGGGAAAGAGAAAAAGAGAAGGGGCAACAGCCACCAAAGGAGGAAGAGAGAAGGGGGAACGGCTGGTCGGTGGAGCAGTCAGAACACATTTATTGACTACATTTGTTGTCTTATATGGGCAGGGTTCATGGTGTCCCAAAACAATTACAGTAGTAACATCAAAGATCACTAATCACAGATCACCATAACAGATATAATAATAATAGAAAAGTTTGAAATACTGTGAGAATTACCAAAATGTGACACAGAGGCACAAAGTGAGCACATGCTGTTGGAAAATTAATGCTGATAGACTTGCCTGACAAAAGGTTGCCACAAACCTTCAATTTGTAAAAAACGCAGTATCTGTGAAGCACAGTGAAATTTGGTATGCCTGTATTATCACCACCTCTTGTATTTCAGGTCTTGTACCTGGTTTTCAGCATTACTAGTCCCACAATCCCTTTGTTTTTTTTTTTCCTTAGTTTTTTAGCACCCTTTCTCATTCCACCCAATAGGTATGTTGAACATTTATCACCGTTTTTTAGGCCTTCTACTCTACGGCTTTCCCAACTTGACCTCTGACCTCATTTACAAAGAAAATTTGGGGTTGAATTCCCTCAACCTTTGACTAATTTACCTGCCAGATTGTGACAAGCACAAACCATTTTATCCTCTTCATACTTTTTCAAGGACCTCTATCAATAAAATTCTTTCCTTTAGCTGCAGTCTCTCCTTATCTACTGATTTTTTTTCTTCATTAGCATATGAACATTCTTAAGTTTACATTTTCTTGTCCTTACCTTTCCCCCTAGCTTTTACTCTGTTTCTGTTTTTAGTCAGGCTTCATAAAAGAACCATTTATATTCTTCTCAAACCACTGAAATCTGACCTCTGTCCCCACCATTACTCTGAAGCAGATCACACAAAGGCCTCCAATAACTTCCTACTGATCTTCTCCAGTGGATACTATTCAGTCTTTTTCTTAATGTTTATAATATTGGATGTTGTTAATCACCTTTTTTCTTGGTTTCCATTATTCCATCTTCCCACTTTTAACTTTACCTTTCTGTTTACTCCTGCTCAGTCTCCTTCACTGGTTGCCTTCTTCAGCCCACCTCCTAAATAGAATATGTGCTACAGAGTTCTGTTCTCAGCCAGTGTTTATCATTCTCTTCATTTTCTTTGAATAATTCAACCATATATGTGCTATATCTACTACCTGATTTATTGTTTATTTTTTGTAGTTCTCTATCTCTTTCCTGAGCTCCAGGCTTTCACAGTAACCCAAGTAAGATTTTGTCATGTTGACAGCATATAGTTGGGTTATTTTTTTTAATTTATTTTGATAATCTCTGTCTTTTAACTGGTATATTATTGACAGGTTAAGATTTAGTTCTGCCGTTTTAAAAATTTGTTTCTGGTTGTTCCCGCTGATCTTCTGTTTCCTTTTCTACTTTCCTGTGAGTTACTTGAATATTATTAGTATTTCATTTTAATTTACTTATAGTGTTTTTGAGTATATGTTTTTTAATAGTTTTCTTATTGGTTATTCTAGGTATTATAATATAAATACATACTTAATTTATGACAGCCTACATGTGTCAGTATTTTACCAGTTAAACTGGAATGTAGAAACCTTAACATCACCTTAGATTTAGTGAGTCCTACTTCCTAAATATTTCTCATATCTTCCCTGTTCTGTTTGATCTGTCTTCCTCAATGCCACCAGAATGGTCTTTCTCAGAATAATAATCCTGGGGTCAGACTCTTTCAGTGGCTTTTTATTGTCTTCATGATGAATTCCAAACTCCTAAGTCTGGCATGTAAGTTGTTACGATCTTGTCTTTACCTAACTTTGTAGCCTCTTAGCTCTCATTTATGCTTAGTTCCTTCTATATAAAACTTACTTTATTTATTCGAGTAATCCATGTTTTGTTTCCTAGAATATCTTTTGCTCCTTTGTCTTTGCTTAACTCATAGTTGTCCTTCACAACTACCCAGTTAAAGGGAGACCACCAGCTAAGAGCCTTTCCTGACTTCCTTTCTTCTTTAAATTAAGTCCCTTTCCACTCTCTGTCATATTCCTTGCCATGATATGTTGTTACTAGTTTACCTTCTTTCTCTCATTTGATTTGAACTCTTGGAAGTAATAAGATACATACTTCCTAAATATTTTCTAATGAAGACAATGGCTTAAAAGCTGCATCTTTGAAATAGATTTAGAGGTTTTAATTGACTAAGTTTATTATGAGATTATATCTTTATATTACATTGGTAATCAGACTTCATCTGAATTTCAGTTCACTTCTGGACAATATACTTACTTAGAGGGTATAGACAAATTAGAAGATGTATTAGGAAATTAGGGTGGTAAATGGGGCTCTAAACCATGTTATAAGAGGAACAGTTGGATATTTGTCACCTAGAGAAAATTCACAAGAGACATGGTGGCTCTTAAGTATTTGAAAGCCTTATTTTTATTTTTATTTTTTTTTTTTGAGACAGAGTCTCAGTCTTTTGCCTGGGCTAGAGTGCCGTGGCGTCAGCCTAGCTCACAGCAACCTCAAACTCCTGCCTGGGCTCAAGCAATCCTCTTGCCTCAGCCTCCTGAGTAGCTGGGACTACAGGCATGCGCCACCATGCCCAGCTAATTTTTTCTATATATTT